ACTCAACAGCTCTACGTCAATTATGGGGTGTCATCATATGCCGTTTCCATGGAAACGCATCCCTCGCCATAAAACACGATGTCGCTGTAACTCCAATGGACAAGGTCCGATCGTCCCCCAAACTTCGCTTGTATATCACCGGTCCATGCCTCAACAGCTTTACACCAAATCTGAGATCTCACCATAGGCTCTTGCCATGGAAACGCATTCCTCACCATAAAACACGATGTCGCTGTAGCTCCAATGGACACAGTCCGGTCGTCCCACAATCTTCACCTGTATATCACCTCTCCATGCCTCAACAGCTCTACATCAAATCTGACATCTCACCATATGCCGTTTCCATGGAAACGCATCCCTCGCCATAAAACACGATGTTGTCGTCTATGAAAAGGGTCAAAACAGCACCACACTTCAGATAATGGTTAACGGTCCAGCCCTCAACAGCTCTACGTCAATTATGGGGTTTCATCACTTGCCGTTTCCATTGTGTATCCCTCGCCATAAAAGACGATGTCACTATAACTCCTATGAAAATGTTCAAAAAGTGCTCAAACTTCACATTTGTGCTAACAGTCCAGCCGTGAAGACATCTACGGGACTGTTTTGAGATTTCTTCAAATGCCATTGCCATGGCAACACAATGCTCGCCATGAAACACGGTTTTCTCATAACTTCAGTGAAAATGCTCCAAACGGCCCAAAACTTCACAGGTTTGGTAACGATGCAGCCATCAACGCATCTAAGCGTATTATGGGATGTCATCAAATGCCGTTGGCATAGCGACAGATCATTCGCCATCAAGTTAGTTCAAAAGTTTGCAGTTCAAATATTCTGCTGCTTTTCCAAGCCTTTTTACTTTCTTTTCTTCTCTCATCACACATTCAAACCCCCAGTGTTCATGTATCATTTCAATCTAAATTCTTCACTTTCTTCTTACACATTACATTTCAGCATAGCAGTTTAGCGTCAGCTTTTCAGCATAAAGCATTCCCACTAGCAATTTCTTCAGGAATTGCATTCTCTAGTTGTAAGTTACTGTACACTTTTGAATAGTTAATCTACTATAATTAGTAGATTTATAGATAAATGATAGATTATTACTATTGAATCATATCAATTTGTTTTAAAGCTCAATAAATAACAAAGAAGACCTTTAACCGGCACTTTTCTAATTTTGTCCGGAAGATTTAAACTAAACGGACATTTTGACCGGCAAAAAAATATTCTAACGGGAACTCTGACATCTACAGTCATTCTGATGCAAATATCTTCTGCCAGTGTATAAGAGTATAGGAGAAATAGTAAGAGAAAAAAAGATAACACTGCATGCAATAAAATGGTGATAAGAGAGATACTCCCACATCAAATAATTGTTTGTCTGAAGCTGTTACATCTGAAAAATACAATTTACATCTCGAAGCTAGAACAATACAAACACTAAAATATGAGTTGTGGTAGCATATTGCAACATGCTGTTTGTTTTAAATAATGATTTACATAAAGACACGTGTATGTAAATTGTGCAACACTTCGATTGACACATTTATTATTGTGTAATTGTATGTTTATGCATTCATGTGTGAATGAGTGTAGCTTACATAGAGTTACATCCTCTAAAATTAACCAAGTGTGCATCCAATTCAATTAAGGTCACTTCTATGTTGGCAGCGGTCTAGAACCTCATTATTTCCCTTTTAATCATTTGCTAGTGAAACAAGTCGTGGGAAGTCAGCGGTGAAGTTTCCAGATGTGCAGCGGCGTTAGACCTGCATCTTAGGCCAGGTGGCTAGCTCATGGCCTAACCCGTTTAAAAAGACAGCGAGATGGAGAGAGTCAGAGAGGTGAGATGATAGGAGTTGATAATTGGAGTCACAAAAATGAAGGAGACTTTAAATGAAGGGCAGGAAGGAGAAACATAATCTTAAAAAGAGGTAAAAATTAAGGTAGGGGAAAACCTGCATGTCCTGTATGCTATGGAGCCATAAAGAAAGTTCCTTTCATCACAATTCGTGTGATGCTTAGTTTTGATGGGCTGCATGGTGAAACTTCAGACCCGAGTTATACATCCTGTGAGACTCATTAAGACAGGGTTGTGCAGTCATTACAACAGACCTAACATGTATATTTTCATTCATTACGCCTTCAACAAGATGGGCTGTTGGATCATTTAAATTATTCCTCTTCAAATATCAGCAATCTTTCTACAGAATTGCAAAGTCCAATCTTTAAAACGTACCAAGATCTCTATTCATGCTTTCATTTGCAAAGCTGCTTTGTATACAAAACAATTATATTTGGCAATACTGTTAACGGGTTACTTTTGAAGCCTGTTACCACTAAAAAGGACAATAAGGCAAGAGAAGGGCAGCATGTTGTTGGCGTAATGTACAAAATCAGTAATGATGATGGTGTGTCAAGGAGACATAAGGCAGAGAGAAGAGAGAAAGATGACAGTCAGTAAAAGAGCTCACTGGGAACAAAGTTTTCCTGAACAGATCAATTTTACATAAGCGATTTCAATCCAATGCCCTTCCGCTGCCAACTGGGAGTGTTTTTCACTTCTTTGTGCAACTTGGTGTCTCTTTGTGTATTTCTCTGTATTTAAATGGATTTCAGTGTGCCTGTGAACCATCATTTTCCACTGTGTTGCTAAAAGCAACTGACGAGTCACAGACCTATCCATTCGCACACCATTTCCGTCATCATGTGACAAACTACAGTGGTGAGCAGGGATCAGAGCGTATGGTGTTGTGTGTTAATGGATTTTGGGATAGATGGAGTCATTCAAGAGATTTATAATCTATGGTCGAGGACTCAGAGCATTAAGACCATTGGATGTTTAATCCTAATCCAGGAGCTAAAACCTTCGTTGTGTTGCAACACTGAGTGCGTGGCTACCACATCCATTCTTTTACAACATGTTGAGCACAATTTACCAAGCATTGCATATTTTCAAATGTCTGTTTCTTTCTCCAAATAACCCAGTCTTAATTTTAGTCCCATGTTAGCATTTTCAGTGAACGAACGGCACCACTTGTGATACATTTGCGCATAACTGAATATGAACAGATAATGCTGAACAAGGCCATAAAAAGTACTTGTACCATAAACTTTGTGATGAGAAAATGTAAAGTCTGGGGAAGAATTAAGTATTGCTGACCATGGAAAAAATACAATGCAAGTCGACTGTGTCTGTGAGGGTGAAAGAGAATAAATTAAAGAGACAGAGGGATACGATGAGAGAGATGAGGCGTCGCATTGAAATCAAGCAGATATTATTACAGCATATTTGCCAGGTGACTTCACCCTAAGCAGAGAGGGTCAGAAATATGGGGAATATGGATTGAATTATATTTCTGCTGCACATGAACACAGCGCTGTTGGATGTTTTATATAGAATAATAACCAAAACAAAATGTCCACTACCTCAGGAGTCTCATTCACTCTATCATCCGTCTACACAGCTGTGTGGGCTGTGTTTCTATCTCAGGAAAACTACATTTTCCGATTTAGTCTCATTTGAATATTGTCTGGTGTTTCCCTTGATAGACTAAAGCTGCTTATCAATGGTACAGTGAATGTAAACATACAAGGCCAACAGGCGGCTAGCTGGTTCTTTAATCCCCACGCACAAATACTCGTGAGCAAACCTATTTGCCTGCCAACAGTCGAACGTGACTCGCCATTACACCCAGGAAAATAATCTTACTGTTGGGAGTGATGTGTGTATGTATCTATCTATCTATCTATCTATCTATCTATCTCGAGCCATTATTTCCACTTTCATAATTTCATTGTTTCTACAGCATTTCTTCAAAAGTAAGGTCACTTAAATAGACAATTTATTTTATATTCGAGTGTTGTATGTCTTTTAATAATGGACCAAGAGTCTCTTCAAATAAAAGCTGATGATGATGAGACAGAGACCTCCTCAACTTGTTGGAAGTTTTTTTATGAATTGAAAACAAGAAAAAGAAAAGCCCTACATATTTTCTACTCAGTTGGAAATTGCAAGACTTGTCTTTGCCATGTCTTTTGCAGTGCTTCAAAAGACAGAACACGATGTCCCACCATGAGACAGCCACACTGTCCATGAAAGAAAGTTGAGGCCTCCCGTCATGGGAATCTATGCTCTGAATCTCTCCATTTAGGGTGCCATTAGTCATTCCTCCCTTGCTCCTTCCCAAAGAGATGACCACTGACGGATCGGTACAGAGATGCGAGGAAAGAAGCAGGTTTGATGTTTGCACATGGTGAAAATACGTTCACACCGTTTGCCCTAAATAGACTCACACATGTACATATAGAGGGCATTTCTTCAGAAAAGTAAGGTAAGGTTAACAACCCAGATGCACATGATGATGCTGATTATGATGGGATGGAGCTTAGTACAGAGTTAGAGTCATGCATGCACATCTAATTGCACACACATAATTAAACATTAATGCAAGGACAAGCGCGTATTTAAAAATAACTCTAAGTGTAATAAATGGTATTATTTCAAAAGACACAGCAGATCCAACAAAAGTAAATTCAGGGTGCAGAAAGAGGTGTATTTCAAATAAATGTAAAAGATCACATTTGTCATTCAAAGTTTCCAAAGCAGTGTTATTCGATTGAATTTGGTGACTCAAATGTTACTGATTCTTTGGGCTTCATTACTGAATATTATTTTTTTAAATGTATGTGTCATCCTTACATCAAAACAGATTTGTTTAGCAAAACAGTGCCTGTAGTTTAGTTAGTAAAGCAGAAGTTGCCTAATCCTTCCAACAAAGATCACAACCTGCTATTTAATTACTTTAATTAAGTAATAACAGATAAAGACCAACATAAACTCACGTCTAGATTATCCAAAACACATGCAAAACTACTGCATGACAAAAAGGGATTTTGTCGTTAAAAGCACCCATTTGTTAGTCTGAATTGATCCAAACAGACCCATGCACTCACTAAAGAAGAAACAAAGACAACTTTATCACTTTCTTAAATCCTACCTTTGATAAGCATGGCCGCACAAATATAAAATCCAACCGAACATGGTCCCCAAAACTTCATCCTGGCAGCGCTGTGTGGACTCGGCCGGCCCCCGGCTGCGGGCTCTCAGTGTCGGGCAGACAGGGAATCAACTCCGGCTTGGCTGTGGTGTGAACATGAGGCTGGAGTAGACGAAGAGGAGGGAGACGGAGTGTGTGAGATCAAAAACACTGACAGACTGAACCAGTGTGGAGTAGTTGAGATTGGCGCGTTCACGCTGCTTCACAAACACATTCCCTCACACAGCGCTTCACGGGGGCGCGCGTCCGAGCAGGAGTTAGCCAGAAAAATGGCTGCTGTAATTTAACAGGTAGAGCCAGCCAGCGATGACAATAAATACAGTAAAGTTTATGTAATGTCTGATAGAGACGATCACTTTCACGATACGCAGCTAGAGTGTCATTGCAAGGTACATTTCGCATTTAATAAGACCCCATCGTGCTTTTCCAAGTCCTCCTAATTGAATGCTGCAGTGATGTAGCCTAGCTTTATGTGATATTTAAATCCGCTCATTGTTCATTCTATATTTGTTATTCCCTTTAAAGAATATTTGTTGTTGCATATTTACGATAACAAGTAAAGTTAGTTTCTAACTAAGCTCCACTAACTTTATAAAGTCAACTGTTTTGTCTCGTGCCCTCACCTGTCTCAAGACGTAGACAGAGAACACGTGTTTGTGTGCAGATGTATGTGAATGCTGATGCTGACCTACAAATGATTGCATTGGAGCATGAGATACTGTTACCTTAAGGCCCTTATAACTTTGCTTACCGGTTCACAAAGTTTTTTATTACTTTTATTGATGGTCAATGTATGACACATATTTAGTATAAGCATTATAGGATGTGTTGCTTCTTTATTTCTGGCAGGGTCACAAATAAGAGTTTTGACAGAAGGGCAGCAAGTTTACACACCTCACATACAATAAAGCAATGTTTCCCAGAAGTGTTCAACTTAAAGTGATTCAAAGTTCATTTATGTCAACATTGTGAAGTTATTAATGCTCTTATCAGTATTGTTAGAATAAAAGGTGCTCAAATAAGTTTATAATATCTCTGATAATCTTTAAGTGAACAACATGTCCAGCACCAAACAGCAGACACACACATTTAGTGACCAGCTGGTGAATATAGTTGAGCATTGTAAGTATAAGAGAGAATTACAATTATCATGTGGACAGACAAATCTCCAAATGAATGATAATGTTTTTCTGTATTTACTTTATTAAAAATAAGAAATTATTTGGAAACACAATCGCCACGTCTGCGTTTTAAAATTCATAATGGGTCAATATGTTTACAGCTTCCTGAGCTGCCCCTCAATTACCAAAAACAATTCATTATGGTTTTAATAAAGGTAATGCATAGTTACATCCAAAACAGACACATCTCACATCTTAGTTTTTCTTGGAGCAGGTCACAACCATACTCTGGAAGTGGGTCTGAACACCACCCAGCCCTCCTTCGCCCACAGCTGTAGACTCTCAGTTATGAATGCAATGTCTGGTTGCAATTTCCCTCTTTGCTTTTTTTAAAGAGGTTCATCAACTGCGTTTTTGTTATATTTGTCACCTTATTGTGCCAGCCTGGCTCATAATAAAATGACCTATTTATTCCATTCCATAAATAATTTCAGTCAGAAATAGGATCCGATACGCAATGAGGGGGAACGCTTCACATTTGTGCAAATGTTCTCACCGCCTGGCTTCCTCTCAGTGGAACAGGGGTGTATCATCTAAGAAGCAGTCCTGTGCCATTGGTTTAACAACAGTTCTTGCTTTTTTTCATATCCCAAATGTCTATGTCTTGTGGAGCTCCATCAGAGGAGATTCATGCTACTAGATTTGATTTAGTACGCCATGGTTCAGTGAAACCTCTGATCACAACCTTTATCCTTTTACTTGCTCTACCAAGGAGCCAACTGTAATAAATGCTAATTGTTTTACTTAAATTATCAATAAGTAAACTGAAGTTTAATGAAGAGCTCTCCATATTGCTGAAATTACGTGCAGCACTGTTCTGTGTCAGCAGTAATACACAGATGAGAAAGGTATCAACATTATCAAACAAGACAAATAATCCATCCATGCATCATATTTCTTCCACTTATGTTGATGTAACCATGATATGTAAAAAATACTGCCTCCAGAAAACTGCCATGAAAGCATCCGTACATGACTAAGGTAAGCTGAGTGTTTTTTAACCATAAAGTCAGGTTTATAATGTGATGGTGATGTCACACACCAGAAAACAATGCACAAAAAAATGCAGATTATTGCAACCAGCAAACTTGATACATCTGAGACTCTTCTTCAGAAACCGATCGACTTAGATCTGACCCGTCAATTGTTTTTCACACCATATTTAACAGTTAACACTAAAAACCTCCAGACAGGAAAACTTAACTCAAGCACCACAGAGGTTTGGCCCCCAGTTGACATCAAACTTTATATTTTTAAACATCAACCATCAGAGAAAATGTATTACTTGTGGACTTGGTTTACAAATCCACAATGTAGATGTTATACCTCTCAATTCTTAGTGCTTAAAATCAACGCACGTTTCCTCAAATGAGGACTGTTAAAGGAATCTGCATTATCTCATTCACTTATTTAAACGCATCAATCCACTGATAGGAGATGAACAATAGCACAGAGAAAAGGGAGCTGTTGATTTGTTATATTTTATAAATGAGAAGTGTTCTGCTAATGGACTTAAATGTTGTGGAGCCACCATTGCGTCTTTCCTTCTTCTCTCAATCCCTTTTTCTCTTCAACATCCCTCTTGTCCTATTTCTTTTTTTAAACACTAGCCTAAACGTATGTAAACCCGACATAAACAAAAGTTAAAACAGATTAAATCCGCAATGACAATGGTGAAATCTGAAGTTAGTATGATATTTTAAATGCGTATTTGGTCAAACACCCATCTTACCCATGTTCCCAAATCAAATATCCCAGCAGGGTGCATGTGTGTGTGATAGAATGGGGTCAGATGAGTTTTAGTTTGTCTGAGTTGCTATACCTTTGATGTCTGGAAGACGCAGAGCTTTAACAGCAGCAGAGAGCACAAGGGTCCCAGAGCTGTACAAAAGTCTGTGTACTTGTGCATGCCTTTGGGAATCCACATTTCTGTGTGTCTGCATCCGAAAACTGTGCAGTCATACTTGTCAGGAGGGATCTTCTTAGAAAAAAGTATTCATTTGACAAATGAAAAATCATCTTAGCAACATTAATTAAAACATTTTGTTTAGGTAATCTGTACATCTTGGTTCTTTCCAACGAGCTCCTGCTCTGTTGTCCTGCTGCCAGCCAGCCATTTGTCTCCAGGTTATTATGGGATATCAAAGAAAGGTCAGGCCTCTCACACATAATTATAGGAGTTTACTGTGCAAAGGTCAGCGGTACACACGAGGGTGAGGGAGAAACACAGAGACTTTGATAAAACACACAAGAGGCATGCGATGTGTGGGTAGACAAATACATTGTGTGGGGAGTGGAGTTAGCACAATAACATGTACTAATGTAATTGTCACACCTTCATAGACCTACTTAGAGCTGCTTAGGTTCATGAATAGAGTCAGTTTAAATCATTTATGAGTTTTGTTCTGCTGGACTTTTACTTATTGTCTCTCTGCATCAACTATTTTTCTCACAGCTCTTACTGTAGGTGGACATTTTCATGTGGCTGCCTCTGTGTTTGAGCGAGAGTGTAAATATTACATCAAGCGAAGAAATTCACATGAAGCCTCGTGCTCATATACTTTAAAGGATGTGAGCTTTAATGCAGCACCTTCAAAAGTAGAACCTAAATTAATGCTCTTGGGACCTGCTTTGAAATCTCTGAAGTCTAAGCAAGACAATCTTGGCTCAAAAAGCAGCTTTTGAATCCACTTCCCTTAGGTGATGTTACATACACATCCACATTGTGTGAATGTGTTCCCCTATTTGTGAAATGTATCACATAAGTTAGATAGTTTAAAGAAATATCTGTAGTTTTTGTTAGTAATCCTGATATCATGTCTGAAATGTGCTTTTTACATGTTCTTTTGCAAAAAACTGTATTTAAACCAGTCTGATTCCTTATCATATTTGTGTTAACCATTGACAGAGCTGCTAAAATATTCAGAAAAATCAAATAGATATATTTCCCCCATGTCTGTCACACATTTGTTAAATGCCTGCAGCAGAAAATGTGAACTGTCTACCAACCATGAATGTGGTTAGACCTCCACCCAGTGGAAGAAATGTTGATGTACACAAAACCTTTTGTATATAACTGTAAAAAACACATATTATAATATTTATCATTTTCATATAAGCAGTGACCACAAACACAACATACAATCAAAGTGTGTCGTTTTCTTTTTTAATGCAACGTATTTGTTGGTCTGAACACTTTGAAGAGTGAGGAACACATCATTGTCAGCGAGTTAGAGCAAATGTTGACATAACACTGAAGTTAGTCTAAACAAATCACACCCAAGTATTAGAATATTTGCTGTGTTGCACTTTCACCCTTAATAAAGCATGCATTTTAAGCTTTTTGAGATAAGATTTGATTGAAATGAAATAGAAGGAAATAAATAATGTATTTTTTTATTGGATAGATTTATTTACTGTGGTTTACCTCTAGGTGGTGCTGTCACTTCACCCATTTCAACTCTATTTGTTTACCTTTTTAGCAGAGCTTATTGTAAAAGAAATACATCATAATGTATTAAAAGCAACTTTATTTGCGCAATAAAGTACAATCCAATACATTACTTTTGAAGGTTTTGTAATTTATAGCAGAAATGTTCATTCAGTCTTCATGTAATCATTGATGTTGCTTGAGGTGGTTTAACTTATATCAGTGAGCAAAGCAACGTTTGTATTTGAGGAGGGTGAGAAAGACAAGGAAACAGTTCCTGTACAACATCGCAAATAAGAGCTCTTTTTGTTTTTATTGACCCAAACGTTGTCAAACATTTTGCAAACATATAACAGGTTATTGCATCTCTACTGAATTTGTAAGGTAGTTCAGATGTTGTTGGTAACTCAAGACATACAAATGTATAAACTGAACATATTGTGGAAGTGATCCTTTGCAATTCTGAATTCAAGATGGTCCAATAAACAAATCAAAGGCAATGTTATTTAGAAACATAACACAATGAAGAGGAACTAGGCATAAATCAAGCAGATCTTGAAATGTGAAAACACTTTAAAGTTGAATATTACCTTGAAGAAAGTTATTCTTTTACTCCTTTTTTCATGTTTCATTCAATTTGAGCTGAAATACCTTAAAGTATGTGTAGTCTAGTATACTGATAGCTACATGCTTCTCAAAGCCAGCAAGAAAATAAATAAATAAATAGGACTTTGGCTACAAAGCAACTTAAGTGGCACCAATTTGTAATAACGTTGTCTTGTTTATCTAGGGAAAAAACATGTAATTATAAAAACTCAAAAATATGCTATAATGTGCATACAATGTTTTGCAAAGTGGATCTTAAGAACAAACCTAACCATCAGAGTCCAAGTTCTCCTTCACAAAACACCTGTAGTGGCCTTCACCTGCTGAGAGGTAACCAAAGATGCATCTGTTGGTGGATCATCGGTTGTTTGTGAAAGTGGTTTATTATTGCTACTAGTTTGACGGTGGATCCTCACTTCCCGGTGGAGGAGTGATTTTGAAAAACATGTAGACAGCTGGAGTGAAGATGAGGACAGTGCCCAGTATTGCGACGGTGAGGAAAGCCCACAGGAAGATCCTGTCCAACACCTGGGCCACAAACTTCCAGTCTTGTACGACCTGGGAAAAAGAAGAAATGGGAGATGAGATAACAACATATATAAACAGGAAGCCCTTAGAGCTGTTCTAGTGAATACTTCAATCTCTCTTCATGCCGCTAAACCAACCTCACGGATGAAGTGTTCCTTGCGGATATGTCTGCTGATGTAGCGCACTGAGTAGATAGCCTTGTCCAACATGGTCGCCCAGGCCTCGTCCTCCTTCGAATCAGAACTTGTCTGTCCGCTGTTCGGCCTCTTGCCAGCTTTCCGTCCTCCTGAGCGAGGCTTCAGCTCCGGGCTCTCCGGAGCCAGCTCTGGGTAATGGTACCGGTCCGTGTGTCCGCGCATGCAGAGCAACCTCGGCAGCTTCTGCAGGAAGAGATTACGCACCCACGGCGACATGGGGTGGTAGGTGGCCGAGGAGCGGTGGTGTACGTTGATGACAAACACAGTGACGATGATCGAGAGTGTGACAAAGATCATGATGAACAGCAAATACTCTCCGATGAGCGGGATCACCTTGGAGGAGGAGGGGATGATCTCTTCTATGACCAGGAGGAACACAGTGAGCGACACAAGGACTGAGGTGGAGAGAGACAGCTTCTCCCCTTCATCGGAGGGAAGGTAAAACACCAGGACAGTCAGAAAGGACAAACCCAAACAAGGGATGATGAGGAAGAGTGTGTAGAACAATGGCAACCTCTTTAGAATGAATGAAAAGGTGATGAAGGGGTACGTGTACATGTCGTCCTTCCTGTTCCCTCTGGCACCGGTGGCATTAAGGATTTGCCACTCCCCGTTATCGAAGAAGTCCTTCTGATCCACCTGATTGTCTATCAGGACCATGTCCACCATGTGGCCATCGTATGTCCAGGAGCCAAACTTCATGGTGCAGTTCTGGCGGTCGAAGGGGAAGAAGGTGACGTCCATGGTGCAGGCGGATTTGTAACTAGCAGGCGGTGTCCAGGTGACACCGCCATTGAACCTGACAATGGCTTTGGTCATCAGAGAGCCTTCAAACCGCCCATCAGCACTGAAGAAACATCAAATAATAATCAGAAAACAAATCTCCGAATCACATTTGCAGATGATCTACTGTATATTAGCTTCTTGTGATTGTATAAGTAAGTGTTGTCTTTTATACCCATCTTTATTTCAAATATGACTCAGTATAACATAACTGTTATTTTAATGTATAAAATGACAGCTCTCATTCAAGTATTACAATTTGGTGACATCTTGATAATGTTATTCTATAAAGAAAATGACATACATAAGTCTATGAGATTGCTGTTGCTGTACTTTTCATACGGACAGGGTGTCTTTTTTAAAGTTTCCTATGAATGTGATTTTCAGTGGTTCCTAGCATAATACAGCAGTCTTACTTCTCATAGAGGACGATGTCTGGGAGCCAAATATTTTCAGACGGGACTCTGATGGAAGTGATTCCTCCGTATTGGTCTGGATTCCAACGCAGCTTGTAATCGATCCACTCCTGGTCGACACAAACACAAGGACACAGGATGCAGGATTGTTAGACTGATATACAATACTAAGAGTCTTATTTGCATTAATAAGCATTTAAGTTATATGCCCCTAGAGTTGATAACATCCATTTTTTCAGACAGAACAGAAACAGATTTTGTCAAGAACTAATGCTGAACTTAATATACAGTATCTTAGTTGGAGACACTATCCATATGAAGGTTATCATGTTTCTTTAAATCAGATTATTATAATATGTATAAATATTGTTGAGTTGTTTTTCTCACCTGACAGAGCCAAACGTTAGTTGTCATTAGCTGGTTCTTCTCATCCTAAAAGACAGACAAAGAAAACCGAGGAAAGAGTTAAAAATGAAAATGAAGTGAAGACGCAAGAAGCAAGATGACAGTGTATAGGTCAGGCTTATTTCATAATCAACGTTTAAACGAAAAAAAGGATATACACATCAACAAAATCAGAACGATTGAGACCTATCAATCCAAATGTTTTTGTATTTACTTTAATTCATAGATCCATGATATTCAAAAGCTGGTAAAAGGGCTCTGATATCTCCCACGTAGGGAATGTTCTGGTACAATATACATTAACATAGAGGACAAACACGTGTTCAAATGAGGGTAGTTTCTAAAGATCTAAATCTCTAAAAGCAAAACAATTGACAGCCTTTTAGTTTTGTATCCGATGTAACTTGATTACAGCAAAAAGAAACGTTGTGATCTGGGTGCTAAAATCACAATGTTAGATTTGATTAGTGGAGAATATGAGAAGCTTGGTTGGGAGTTAAACTAATAATCTTATCCTTGCTCTGAAATGACCGAATCTAATTGACCCGTCACTGCCACTTCCTTAACAAGCAAGAGGAAGAAACATAAAACGGATATGGGTGAAGTGAACCCTGAAGCAGAAGCGATATAACTGCAGCACGAGGTAAATAGAAGAAGACAGGAATAGAGAGATGGAGAGTGGTTAACACAGGTTTATTTCCACATCACTGGAGGTGAGTTTGAAGAAACGGGGGTAGACTAAGAGCTTAAGACTGGATATAAACAGTATAGAGAAACAAAACATGCAGCTGTTAGGTATATCCAGACCAGGCCTCAGCTGTCAGACTGAGTCGGATGTTTTGATGATCACATAAAGCAGAGGTGAACCATAATCTAATACACAGCCATGTACAGAAGCAGCAGAGACAAGCTGCTGTGTCTCTGGTTAGCTCTCTGTCTCTTTTACAAAATCCAACAATTCATCTTAACCTAACTCTTTCTTCTCTGCAGAGCCGTCAGAGGGCATCACAGATTGTCTTTGCCCAGCACACGTGTTAGGTGGAAGGATAAAGAGTTCAATCTAAACTGGTTGATATGAATATTTCAAGCCAAGAAGAGCGGCTCTTCCATTAGCATCCTCCGTTTTCTCCATTTGGACACCATCTCAACCTATTACAGCGTGCCTCTGAAATATTAAAGAACCACTCCAGAGTATGGAGACTGTGTTTGTAGATGTGAAGTGAGTGTTCCCGATCTATTTCAGGAACACAGAAAGCTCCTCGCTGTTAGGTGCTAGTGCCCTGTTTGGTTTCAGGACCATGGACAGCGACACCACTCGGCTGATGGTGAAGACTTACCATTCAAATCAAACTGTGGTTTTCAGTTCTCGCCAGTGGTCCTCTTTCTCATATTTCCATGAGTGTTAACTAATTCTCTTCTTTTGAAGGATACAGTTGGAAAGCTTGCTAATTGTTTTTGTCAATGAATCCCATAAAGAGACCCTAAACCAACAATGTGTTAGGTGCTAGTCCATCTCTTAAAACTGCACACATTATTCATGGCGCTCAGATCCAAGCATCCTTAATGAAATGTGTTCATTTTTAAAAACTGGTCATACACAATATATTATTTTTTTAATTAAAATATTTTAAATTACAGGCCAAACATTTTTAACAATTTAAACATTTAAGACTGTTCGGTTTTTTTTAATAGCAGTAAGTTGTTCATTTTCTGGGGGACCATTTTATATGTTTTTATTTTGTAAAAAAGGAAATTGTCACCCAGAGCCACTGTGTTGTTTTTTTAAGTGTAAAATAGTTTGGATAAGAATTGAGTCCAATAGCACTGAAGAAACAATCAGAATTTGACTTTGACTTTGATTGCGACTTTGATGTGATTTATTGCTAATAAGAAAATCATGGAACAATGCCAAACTCGTCCTTCAAGATCTGAGTTATGATGAGGTTGAATATGAAGCATACAAATAAGGTAACTTCTAATTACCTTAAAGGTAGGGTAGGTAAGTTTGAGAAACCGGCTCGAGATCGCTAGAATTTGAAAATACACAACCGGAGAAAATCTGCCACTTCCTTATAGAGCCCCTCCTCCAACACACACGAACGCGCACATGACCAATGAGGGCAAGAGATAAGTTTGTGCACAGATGGAAGGCTGACAGGCAGGTAGGCCATCCAGTTATTTTAGCCGGGCCAGCTAAAATGATTGGTCGTGCTTTTTACAGTACTACGGCTTCCACAGATGACATTTTTTTATGGATTTTTTGTCAAAGCACTTAAGATATTCATTGCTATCGGGATGTTAAGAGCATTCCATGGAATATAACAAAAAGTGTATCTCGAGCCGGTTTCTCAAACTTACCTACCCCACCTTTAAGCAGCTTAAAAACTAGAAAAATATATTTTCCACACAGTTCTTTTTTTTTATCTCAATGTGTGCGTGCAGTTTTGCTCCACCACTGGGGAGCACACAACAAATCTCCTCATGAATAAAGAAGTACATGGATATGCATTTGTGATTGTAGGTGTGTCCTCACCACATCAACCAGCTGGGAGATCTTGAGTCCAACGCGAACCGTGACGGTGTCGTTGACGTGCTGGATAGGCCTGACCCAGCGCTGGTAGCCTTGGAAAAGGTTCCTCAGCAGGGCGTCCTCCATCTCTGCCAAGGACATAAACTCATTCGGACCTGGGACAAATAGAATGAATGTGGATTTACAACTGTTCATTCCATAAATACTGCTTGTGTTAACTTCTTAATACAATTGGGTAGATCAAAGACTTCCTTACATACCATTTTCTTTTTTAAATAAGCATTACTTTTACCGCCCTTAAAGTGGACGTCACTGGAAAACAGACAAACAAAAAGGGATTCTATCGTCTTTTAAGTAGGTTTTTGGAGATGTTCTTGCCTACTTCTAGAGTCAGCCTTACCAAAAAGAAAACATGCTTAAAGATATGAAAATATGTTCTAGCACCATGAACAGTAACCCTCCAGAAAAGTATTAATATTAAAACTTGTATACTGTCCTGAGATGGTTGGAAAAATGTCAACAACAAATGTAACTCAACTCATTAGTAAATCCACAATTGTGTTCCCCAATATGAATATGTATGACACAACGAGAAAATAAATGAGCAAACAAAAGTGTATAAAACAATTTGTCTCCAAATCCAGCTAATCCTAATTACTAAAAAAGCTACATGCAGGAAATTCCCCTGGCAAATCACATCATAATAACTTCAGTCCGCCAGCTGTGTGCTGTAGAGACATCAAGCTATCAAGGAGAAAGATGAGTGAATGATGGAGCTCCGCACTTTGTTCAATTGCAGTGCGAGGGGAAAGTCAGTCAGCACATCAGTCAGCCTGAGGCGATACAATGTCTCTGGAGGGACAGAGACAGTCATATTGACAAGAGACAGCTATATAATGTCAGACAGAGGGGACGTCAAGTGCAAGAGGACCACATGATCTAATGAGGAGGGGCATGGACCCAGTGGCGACTGGTCATTAGGGGCAGGTGGGGCACAGCCCCACCTAGTGTCAGCAGAAAGTATTACAAATAATGATTACAAAAATGCAAAAAAAAAAAATATATATATATATAAAATATATTTTAAGATCATGTTTAATCATCTGATTCGTCTGTACATTGCTGTTTTAGTCTGTGTTCTTCTAATTAGTGTGTCTACAGTCACAGTGTGTGCCTATTGAGCTGTTTAGAGCCATGTGGGACAAAACCTGATTATGCCCCTTCCTCTCGCTGTGAAGTCAACGGTGACTGTAAAAACTTCACTGCGCATGCTCAGAGTATTTTGTAATGAAATGTGTGTGGCAAAAAAATAATGACCAGAGGGGCATGGAGCTACCATCCCCACCATACGTCATCTCAAATCATTCAGAGCTGATTGGCTGTAAGTACGTGTGCCGCGAAAAGTGTGCTGTGTGAACAGGAGACGAGAGAGCTGCAGTGGCGCGTCCTAAAACCAGGAAGTAAGCACAAAAAAGCAATGAGATTTCTCCAGAGGATTTTAGAAAATAGCTCGAAATAAGATCTGTGGGAAACGTACCTGTTAGATAAATGCACGTTTTGATTAGCCGGATAACATCCACATGTCTACCCTACTTATATAATTTTTTTATCATAAATCTATGGATTAGATTTATGATAGACTTTTGAAACTACAAGAACATAAGGAGGACTTTTACAAAAAAGTAATAGAAATGTTTGTCCAGAAGGATAGGCAAATGGACTTCATCTTCAAGTCAAGGTAAGACCGCCATTTTATTGAAAATGGGATCTCACTAAGAGAGAACAATTCAATATTTAAATGATAAAATGACATTTTTTGGGTATCCTTTTGTTGAACTGTCTGTTTAAAATTAATCGAACCATCAGACAAAAAAAGCTTTTGAAAATAATATTATATTTTGGGTTAGGTCAAAATATAATATTTGTAAACCTGAAGAGTCAGTGCCAGTGCCTCAGCAGCCATGAACCTCACTGCACGTCACTGCAGAAGCTTATATATAGACATCTAAGTTTTTTGTGCCCCACCACTTTTGTACATATAAAAACGCCACTGCATGGACCTATAACCTGGTGCTGGCTCTGTCTGACAACACATGACTGATCCATTCATGAATAAATGTAAAGTATGATCAAAGCAAACATAAAACCACAAAGTCAGAGTGCAGTTGGATCACCTCTGTCTGTGCTCTCAAGGACTCTGACACATGATACCTGTGTTCCAGTTTATCTGATAGCAGCTTCAGCACAAACAAGAGCCGGGCCGCACATCATTCCTGAACTAATACGCTGCTTAACATCTCATCTGATTAAAACATCTGATTAGCATTGTTAGTTCTAAACTGTATATTAATATTCATTTACAATTTCAAATCAGAGACAAAAAGGTGGAAATGTCTTCTTTGCGTAGAAATAGCACACAACAGGAATAACGTACATGAAATAAGATATGGGAAAGGTAAAAAGAAGGCACATTTTGTGACTAAACTGCAGTAAAATAACAACAAAAGACAACTTTTTATAATCATGAATGAGAAGGTTGCACTTTTTGGTTGACGAATTCATCGAAAGTTATGTGGAGCTTATTTGAATCTGTCTCAGACATAACTGTTAGATTACACCACATATTTTTTCTGTCCAAACAAAAAAGTAGAAATGTTGTCGATATTCGAAAGTATTTAGAAAACAAACCAAGAGTTTTCTTACCGGGGATTACGGCCAGGGCCAGCGGACAGAGGAGGAGGAGGAGGACCGACAACTTCATAGTGTTGTCCTCCCGGGTCCCACCGAGCGCTCCTGCAGCCTCCTGTTCGCTTCTATCGGCTGTTCAGGGGAGAGGACTACAGGACTCACAGCGAGCAGGCACAGGCATCCAGGGTCCCATCAGCTG